ACACACACACACACACACACACACACACACACACTATGTAATTTTAAAAGGTTTTTTGCCAGGCAGTGGTGGTGCACACCTTTAATCCCAGCACTCAGGAGGCGGAGGCAGACAGATCTCTGTGAGTTCAAGACCAGCCTAGTCTACAAGAGCTAGTTCCAGAACAGCCTCCAAAGCCACAAAGAAACCCTGTCTTTAAAAAAAAAAAAAAAAAGTTTTTTGAAAGAGGAACTGGGTCTGAGGATGTAGTTCAGTTAGTGGTGTGTTTGTCACAAAGCCCTGGGTTGGGACTCCCAGCACCACATAACCTGGCACACATTAATAATTCCAGTACGTATGAAGTAAAGTCAGAAGGATAAGATTTCAAGGTCATCTGCAGATACATAGCAAGTTTAAGTTGAGCCTGGACTAATGAGATCCCGTCTAAGAAGAGTGGGAAAGTCAGGCCCACAGACATCCCTACAGTTGTCAGTTGGGCTTTTCAAATGGGAGAAAACTTGACCAAGGTTTGAAAGCTAGTGCTGGCCAGAAACAGGACAATAAGAGTGATCACACTCTCTCCTAGTGACTGTTTTCAGGAGTGGATGAGGTAGGAAGCCCTGGGAAAGAGTCCCTAACCATGCTTCCATTTTCTGAAAGTACATTTTCAGCCATCAGCAGCTATGGTGCTGAATAGCAACCTTGAAAAGATGCTTACCATTCAGAACCCACCTTTGGGAGGATGAAGACACTATAGACCAAAAAGAAACAAGAATTCCCAGAGGCAAATGGGCACAAGTCCCTCCTTCCTTAGCTAAGAAGTTATTCACAAGTAATGGCTGCCAGGAGAGGGAAAATTAGTTGTCTCCAATGAAGTTGATAGTGCAGTGCATATATCAACCACACTCCAGGGTAGGTCCTATGCTCAAGAAGTTGATCAACATTCTGTGGTGTGTGTGTGTGTGTGTGTGTGTGTGTGTGTGTGTGTGTGTGTGTGTGTTTAGGTATGTGTATGTGTGTGCATGTGTGTATTATTATTTTCAAGAAGGAAAAGCATGAAATTGAGTTGGTGAGTAGGCAGGAGAGGGTGAATCTGGGAAGGGTTGGGAGGGAAGCAAGAATATGATGAAAATATATTCTATGAAATTCTCAAAGAATAAATTAAAATGTTTTTCAAAGGGGGAAGGACTCCTAGGACCTTAAGGGCTCAGCGGAGCTCAGAGGCTGTGAGTCTACATCGTTCTTTGCTGGATTTTCTCCCACAGCTCTCTGAGGTTTGCTCTATGATTCAGGATCTTCCAAAATGAGTGAGCAGGACCCCAGGGCTTGTAAGACAGCTCTCCAGGAGATGGTTAAGTGTTACAGCTCTGCTTTATTCCAGGAAGAATCAAGAATATAAAGGTTGGGGACAATGACTGGGGCATCACCTAATTTACTTTAAGAGGAACACTCCTACCAAACAGCTCCTAGCATGCACAGTAAGAGATCCTTCCATCAGGGATCTGTCAGGGTTTGAGCCAAAGATAAGACCAGGCATCCAGCTTTAGAGACAGGCATCTGGTTTTGAGGCAGCTTTCAGATCAAGTCAGTCTCCAGCTCCAGAACATTCTCCAGGTAAGGACAGGTAGAGAGCAGGAAGCCTTGCTAGGGAGGAAGGGAGCCCCATATTGCCAAACACAGAAAAAGCTGCTAGGCTTGTGGCAGACTGCAACCTCTACCAATCAGCAACATATCCCAACAGGTCTCCAAAGTCCAGTGAAAGAAGAAAGGAAATTGAGTTGCTATGCACTTTCTAGAGGGGTCTAACAGCTGGGGTATAGGTAATACAGGAAAAAGATAAGAACTTTGAGAGATGTAAGGCCATAGTCCCCATCCCAGAGAGATAGACATTTCAAGGGAAGAAAAAAGAAATGCTAATATGAAAAGATAATCAGAAAAAGAAAAGAATAACTTCACAAGTTATTATGTGCTCAGAGTGAAATGAAAAGTGTACATGTGACTGTCATTTTAGAAGGGAGTGTGGCCACAGCCAATTCCGGTGGTCAGGGGCTGCACAGCCACTGTTGTTACTGCTGCTTACAGCCGTGGGGGCTTTTTTCCGGTGGTTAAGAACAGATGAGATAAAATATTAAGTCTGTAGAAGAAGGGCAGGGGAAATTTAACTACTGCAGCTTGAGGAAATGAGGAACTTCAGTGCAGCTTGGGGTAAGTAAGCAGTGAGCAGAAAGAATGGTCAAGGACTCTGACTTAGCAAGGAGTCACCCACCCTGGAACTGCACAGGGATCAGTCAGCTCAGCTTTCTCCAACCTAGGCTTGCTGCTCACTGGAAGCCTGAGTCCCTGAGAGAGGCCCAGGGAAAAGCCTCTGAATGGAGGGGGTATAGTCTCACTAGCCAGAAAATGGATGTTGAGGTTTTTCTTCACTGGTCTTGTATTACCAGGCTTAGGGGAGAGACAGCAGATGAAGTCAAATGCTGGAAAGTGAACAGAAACCTATGACTTCTTGGCAGGGCCAGCAGCAGACAAGACAAAATAATAAGTTTCCTGCAAGAGGCCACAGCCTACTTCCTTCTTCCTCTTTACTCATCTCTGTACTGACTGACCAGTCTCTCCTCAGGCAAGCTGATTCTTCCCTTTGGTTAAAAGTGACCTAGCCTGTGTTCCTCATTCCCAGTTCACTGAAGTCTCTTTCTCCAAGATAACTACTATGTTATGCTTCTCCCTCAAACTCTGTGGGTTGTCTTGTTTTTTGTTTTGTTTTGTTTGCTTTTTTTCTCTCTCTCTCTCTTTTAAGGCTATTTCCTGGGGCAGGATTGATCCACGTTATCTAGTTTTCTAAGCCCTTATCATTCCAGGCCAGTCCCCTTGTAACTCCCACCTGGAAGAATCCATCATCCTCTCAGATCCCTTTAAATGTATATTGACTCTTAGTACCCGGGCATCTTCTGCCTTTCCTGGTAGTTAGTATTGTACACACATATTTCCCTTTCTGAAAGATGCTCAAGGGTAAGCTCAGCATCAAGGATGGGGATGTAGCTTAATTAGTGGGGTCCTTGCCTCCCATGACCAAAGCTCTGTGTTTCAGGACAACCTGGGATTCATGAAATTCTATTTTTTTAAATCAATTTCAACTATCTCCTTGTAAAATTTTGTTTAATTCTCAGAGCATAGTAAAGCTATAGTGAATTTGTTTAATTAATTCAAGGGTGCCTTTCATTTCACTCCCAAGAGTGGCTCTACTATAGAGTTCATGTAAAATATCAAAGAAGTTACAAAGATGTAGGCCCCTTGGCTTCGGGATTTTGCTTTGTGGGCTCCACATCATTGTAATTTCATTTCCTGTTTACAGGCCCTCAAAAAAAAAAGCCAGTTTCTCTGAAGCAAGCACCCCTGAAAACAGTTCAACAGTACCTGCTGTAAGTTCGTACACTTAAACCCCATGACTTGACCCTGAAAAGGTACTGTTATGTGTTTGGAAAGGGTCATAGCATTTTTATAGTACCATTTTAAAAATGCAAATGCTAATCCATAACAGAATGAACAAATTATAAAAACATGAGATGAAATATTATACAGCCATAAAAGTGATAGGCTACAGGTAGGAAAGTAGTCAAGCCTCATAAGACGTCAAGCAAAAGAAGCCTGTACCATGGAATTCCACTTATATCCAGGTAAAACTAACCTGTGAGATTAGAAGATAGAATGCTGCTTAGATCTTTGGAAAGGACTAAGTAGGTAATGATTGGGGATGAACATATGATTGTTCCAGAGTTGTTCCAGAAGTAACTCACTGACATGTACATTTCTGTACATATGCCACAGTTCTTATTATAATAAGAAGGATTTGTTTGTAAATACATCATCTGGCTGCCCTTAAGAGTGATTTCTAGAGAGTCTCTTTGGGGCCCAGAGCCAAAATCTCTCCCACACCCAGCTGCCTTGTTTGAGAGCTCTGATGAGCAGAAGTTAAGTGAAAATTACTTTGGCCTGCTAGAGCCTCCTTGGGGTCCCTTCTGGAGCAGTAACAACTAGTACCAGCTCCTGAGGAATGCAAGGCTCAATACAATCCAAGTGCTAACTGGGGAGATACTGTCCCAGCCTTTCTTCTGTTATCTACCGTACTTCACCCAGTCCCACACATTTAGGCACTCACAACTCCCAGCCCATCCTTTTCTTCAGAATGAACAACCAAAAATCTGAATTCAGGACCCCAGATGAACTTTAAGGGTCAGGTATATCTTCCTTGTTTTTCTGTATCTGACCCAAGTTATCATCCTAGCCCACATCCATGATTCCAGAAAATAATGTGCTATTCACTCAACAAACATATCTGGAACACCTGCGCTATCAGGCATGGCACTGTTCTGACAGCATGTAGGCTCCACTCAGGTATGTGCCAAGGGCTTATTCAAGCACGGCCAAAACAGATTCAGGGAGCTGATGGGAACAGAAAGGAGGGTGTGAGTGTGGAAATACATATGTACTTATGCCAGAGGCCATTCTGAATACTGAGGTTAAGCCTTGGTCTCTAGGACCTTACATTCTAGTGGGCTGAAGAAGACACTGTGGGGCAGAAAATAATGTAAGAAGGCACTGCCATATGTAAAATGGAGATAGGAAATTAGAGAGTATTATGCAGAATGAAAGATCAGGAATTGCTGACACTCAAGGTGGGGAAGGCAGCAATGACAAGGTGGTGTTTGGATAAAAGAGAAAGCCCATGGCTGGCAATGAAGCTGCTCCCAGAGAGAGAAAACTGGATGTGAAGCCTGAGTGAGTGCTCACATCCCTCCGGCTTTCCACACTTCACACAGACTAAAAGCCATATACTTCACAATGGCGGACAGGACCTGGACCACCTCCTGCGGTCTCTCTTGCTCCCTGCATTCCAGGTGACTATGTAGATGACATAATCAGAGGCTATGAGTTCTGATCGATCACACACACACACACACACACACACACACACGCACCTGTGAGTCCATGCCAGGCCCCACCCCACACCAACCAGGAATCCTTACCGTGACCCTGGTGACCCCTGAGGAACAGGAAGAGTACAAGCAGGGCAGCTTGCCCCAACATTCCCACTGAACAGGGCAGGGCAACGGGCCCCTCTCCTCTTCCGGTGCTCAGATGTTAAAAGACTAAGCTGCTCGGTCAGTAAGGCACGAGCTTGTAGCAGAACTACCTCCGTGCCTGTCCAGCCACAATTTCCTCAACTCAAGGCTGTTCACTTCTGCTGTGAGCAGACAAGGCCACTGAGAAGGCCCCAGTCCCTAGACTAGGTCTAACTGTTCCCACCAGTGGGCGGATACTGAGTGCACAGTGACTCACAAAACCAGCTGCAAAGCCTTAGCCCTTGATTTGCCTCAAGCCTGACAAAACCAGCTGCAAAGCCTTAGCCCTTGATTTGCCTCAAGCCTGTGCGATTCAGCTTCAACCCTACTTGCAGTGTGGAGAGAAACAAACAGCCATTATCCCAGACTCTCTCCAAACCAACACACACTGAGAAGAGGAAGTGGGAAGGAATTTAGACTACCTGGTGGTCTGAGAAGAAGAACCCTGAGTAAGTGGTTGAAGGAGAGGAATGCATGGGGTGACTTAGGAAGAAACATAAAGTTTAGAGTCCCCGGGAAATATCTAACCTAGGACACCTATGATACCAAATGTTTAGCATATGCAAATTGTGCCCCTCCTTTCACCTTTCCCCAGAAAGAATCTTCTAAGTTAATAATAAACCTGAATGTTTGTGTCCCGCTCTTCTAATTCAGCTCTTGAAATCTAATCAGAATGTTGGTATTAGAAAGTAGAATGTTAGGGGAAGTGATCAAGTTTAGAAAACAGATCTCTCATGAATGGAATTAATGTTCTTATTTAAAAAATGGGTCAGTGGGTCAAGGGACAAAAAAAGTTAGCAATCTGCATGCCCCCCAAAAAGCCTTCCCAGAACCTGACTATGAGGGCACCCTAATCTTGAAGTGTCCAACTTTCAAACCTATGAGAGACAGACATATAAACTATCTAGTGTAGTGTTTCAGCAACCCAAGCAGAGTGAGGCTTGGCTTCTTCATCAGTCTGCCTTCCTTTCCCCTGCTAATATAATAATTATCCCTGCTCCTCTACTTTATCTCCTCTTAAGATGCAGCCTCAACCCCTGGATCTCCTCACAGTTACCTACTTTGAGACCAGCCTAGTCTACATAGCAAGTTCCAGGCTAGCTTAAAGGGAACACATATGCATCTACTACACACACACAGACACAAAGAGATATTCAGTCTCACTGAAAATTAGAGACATGAAAATCAAAAGTATTTAATTGGTAAAAATAATAAAGTTTGATGACACCAAGTATTTGAGAGGATAAGAATTAATTGGCTACATCATGAAAACCAGTCTCAAAAAAAAAAAAAAAAAAAGCAACTAGCACAAACTATAATATCTGTATTTTCTAACCCCATGCTAATCATAAAACACTAAACTCAAACTTTAACACTAATAATTTCTGTACCTCAAACTTTAAACCTTTGATAAAATTAAAATTAAAGATATAATGAGAAAGTATGTTTTAACACACATATATAATGGATCAATAGCAAGTAATATTCATTTATAAAGAATTTATGTATAGAGAATTCTATTAATCATCTAATAAGACAAAGAGGAAAAGACAATGTAACATAAAATTTTGCAGATATGAATGAGTGTTTTAGAGGAAAAAGAAACAGATCCAATAAATGTGTAAAGAGCTATACAATCTCTGGGACTTAGGAAATGATACACAAAGAAATATTTGGATTCACTAAGAATTAGAGACATGCAAATCAAGAGTATTTAATTGGAAAAATAATGAAGCCTGATGACACTAAGTATTTGAGAAAATAAGGATTAATTGAATCAATAATATATTGTGGGGAGTTACGCACAGAAGGGATTAAAGTACACCTCATTGGAGGGGTATAGTGGCTTATCCCCGTAATTCCAGCATTTAGGAAGTGGAGACAGGAGGATCACTGTGGGTTTGATGTCATCTGGCTACACAACAAATTCCAGAACACAACAACAACAAAACAAAAACAACAACAATGGAAAAATAGTACTTCTCATGGGACTACTGAACTATTACCAGAATGTACCTGACTCTTGAGTAGTTCTCTGGCTTTCTGTTCAGTGGTGTGACTACTTATTCCTGTGAGCCTCCTGCCTCTGTGATATCCTGAGGAACATAGACAGAATGGATATTTCTAGAAATAAAGACAATGAATTTTCTCTTAGTGTTTGTAACAGGAATTATTTGTTGATGAGAGTGTAAAATTGCTGCATTTTTGGCAGTAAGTTGAAACTACCTTATGAAGTCAAATATTCACAAATCTAATGACCCAGCAATTTGGCTTCTAGTTATAAACCCATATATCCATGTAGTTGGTTGTTTTCTACTCTTAACTCTTTGCTCTTCTGGGGGCCCACCACCCAGCTCCCAAATAAATCACACAGGGAGGCTTAGCGTGGCTTGTTTCTAGCCGCCCTTTCTGAATTGAAATTATCTTGCTTATCTTTTTTCCTCTAGGCTTTTATCTTTCTCTTCTGTAATCTTACTTTTACTCTTACTCCATGACTGGCTGTGTAGCTGGGTGACTAGTCCCTTGAGTCCTTCTCCTCAGATTTCTTCTTCTATTTATTCTCTCTGCCTGCCAACCCCACCAAACCTTTGTTGCCAAGCTGTTGGCTGTTCAGCTCCTTATTAGATAGGTGTTTTAGACAGGCAAAGTAACACCACTTCACAGAGTTAAACAAATGAAACATAAAAGAGTACGACACATCTTTACATCACTAAAAAAATGCTCCACAGCATAAACAAATGTAGCACATCTTAAATTAATATTCCACTACATACCCAAATGAAATTAAACACATCTTTACCTAAAATTTAGCTAGAAATACACACAGCAATGTTTAAAGCACATTGCTCATACTGTTTTTTTTTTTTTTTTTTTCAAGATTAGGTTTTGAGTTCAGTTTCCATCACCCTTGTGCAGGCTTACAACCATCTGTAACTTCAGTTCCAGAAGATTCAATGCCCTCTTCTAGCATTTATGGACAGCATGCATGTGTATGTCTACACATGCAGGCAAAACACCCATACACATGAAACAAGATAAAAATGAACTTTAAAGCACCAAGGTCTGGGTTGAAATGCAAGAAGAATGATTGCCTAGAATGTGAGAAACACTGGGTTCAATCTTCAGCACTGGATAAAGCTGAGCAATGATAGTGGTACATGTCTGTAATCCAAGTTCAAGGTCATCCTTAGCTACATAACAAATTTGAGGCTAGCCTGGTATGCTTGACACTCTGTCTCAAACATAATAATAATTATAATAATGGAATCACTGAGCATGGTGGCATATGCCTTTAATCCCAGCACCAGAGAGGCACAATGTCCTAGTTTAAGGGTACCAATGCTATGATGAAACACCATGACCGGAAGCTACTTGTGAAGGAAAGGGTTCATTTCACTCACATGTTCATCATCAAAAACACTGAGAGCAGGCACTCGAACAGGGCAGGAACCTTGCTATGTAGCCCAAGCTAGCCTTAAACTCTCAATCCTCCTGCCTCAGACTCCCCAGTGCCAGAATTGAAAACTTGAGCCATCCACACCTGCCTGATAAACAATGTAACAATAAATACAAAATGAGATAAAATAGGCCAAAAGCTTTAGTGATGGGAGTGGGGGCATTGGATAGCTGTAGGTCACTGTCATAGCTATTCTGGGTTGTCAACTTGACTACATCTGGAATTAACTAAAACCCAAAAATGAAAGGTCACAACTGTGAAGGATTTTCGCTTAATTTGAAATGGGAAGATCCACTTCTAATCCAGATCTTTGAGGAGGAAATACATGCCTTTAACCAAGATCTTTTGAGGTAGGAAAAACCACCTCTAACCTAGCCCATGCCTTCTGCTGAAAACCTATAAGGACATATAAGAAGGAATCTCACTCTTTTTACCTGCTTGCTCTTGCCCTCACTAGCAAATCCATTCTTTCACTGGTATTAAAGCCAACTTCTTTGGGATTCCAGCATATACTGAAGACCAATCTGAGACATCCAGACTACTGGACTTAACAACTACTGGATTCTTGGACCTTCTGATCATAGGCATCCATTGTTGTATTAGCTGTACCACAGCTTTTAAGTCATTCTAACAAACCCCTTTCTCATACAGCCACTAATAGCATTCCAGTTCTTTGGGTTGTGACAAGGCTTATAAAGGAAGGAAGGAAGGGATGGAGGAAATTAGGGAAGGAGGGAAGAGACTAAAGATTGTTCTATTACACGTCTCTAATGGTTTTCTTCCCAACCATTAAGAATATCACCTCATCATAAATCATCTCAGGTAATCAGTCATATTCATTTGTCTTCCTAGGAGGCACAAGGAAAACTACTTCCTCTCTTTGAAGTTAAACTGAACTGTGCAGTTGTTCTAGCCACAAAATATAAGCCAAGTCACTTTGAGGCTCAAGCCTCTGAGGAGAGAGAGCAAAACATTAATCAACCTATTTTCCAAACTCAATAAATACCTAAAATGTGTAGCACTTGGTGTGTTGGTCATCTTTCTGTCACTGTGACAAGATATCTGAGATGATCAGCTCCTAAGGAAGAAAAGTTTATTTTGGCTGCAGTTTTGACCGGTAATCAGCTGACACTATTGTGTGGGCCTGTGGTGAAAATATCAGGGTGGAAAACATGTGGTAGTCATGGTGACTAAAAGCAAAGGAAGAAAAATGAAGGAACCAGGCCAGGCCCCTACACTTCCTTCAAGGACACACCTCTAGTGTCCTAACTTCCTCCTACTTCTGAATGGTTCCACCCCCTGCCAATGTCACCACAGATTAGCAATGAAGCCTTCAACCCAGAGCCTCTGGATGACACAAAACTGTAACAGGAGGCTTGATGGTATGTTTATAAGTGATTGAGAAATGTTAGACATGCACTAATGGTGTAAGTCTGTAATCCTAGCATTTAGGAGGCAGAGAGAGTAGGACTACCATAAGTTTAATGACAGCCTGAACAGCACAGGGAGTTTCAGGCCAGCTAGGAACAGAGTAAGATCCTGTCACAAAAATTAAAAGAAAAAGGGACAAAGGGGTGGGGTACTATTAGCAGCGTTAGTGGTAAGAAAGTTCTGGGATTCTAGAGTGACGCAGGAAAAGCACTGTCATTGAACTAAAATCTTTGTTGTATCTACTGCATTCAAGTGCTAAGGAAAGGC